ATATATATATATATATATATATATATATATATATATATATATATATACTCACTAAATAAATATTTTCTATTTCTCTTATATATTTCTTTTCTCTCAGTGTGGAAATATATAAATGGATAGATATGAATGCATAAATTAATAAATATATAAATAGGCAGTCCTATAAAAATATATACATATATAGATAAACAATTGAAATAAATATATTAATAAAGAGGTAGATATAGATAAACTGATCAACATATAAGTAGACAAATAGACAAATAAATTGATAGACATTAGTTGCGAGATTCTCCAAATTAAACGCGCCCACAAATTTTCAAACGACTATACGAAATTTTTATCCGCGACCACGCGATTGTTTCGACATGTGAAATCGCGAGCACACCGGCGAATTGAACGGGTCTGTGTCCGTCCCGCATGATTCCCCGTAAGATCGTGGTTGTAACGTAGACGCTCTGAATCGCATGGGTCTCTCCTTCGGCTTCTTACCACGCGGCAGCGGCTACGACGGCGAATTTGCGCAAGAGGCGCGTTGCGATTCTCTCGCGCGGCCAGAAGAGTGGCCCGCGAGTTTTTCGGCGGGCCCCTACTCGTTTTGCACGCGGGGCCCGGTTTCTTTTCACCTAACCGCGTTTCGGCGGGCCCGCGCCGTGCCGTCGCCGTTGCCGTCGTCGTCGTCTTTCGTCGCGCCCACCACCTCGCTCTCCTTGCCGGCCTCTCCTTGAGGGTTTTCGACTCGGGCGAGTCCCACCGAGTATAAAAGCAGGGGGATCTTCGTCGTACTCATCAGTCGCGAATACGACGAACACGACGAATCCGATAAGCTCGCGCAGCATCATGAACACGAAGGTATTAATCGGTTCCTTCTCGCGCCTCGGATCGCTATCGATCGCTAAAGAGGAGGAGTTATCGTTACGAAGGATCTTGAAGTAACGATCTCTGGAAGGAGGCAGAGAAAGAGATCGATCGCGCTCTCGAGAGGGTGAAGCGAGGGAGACGTCGCCGACGTTGCTCGAGTTCGCGAAACGTGGTTGTAACCAAACTCGCACTCCTCGTCCATCTCGTGTAACACGGTTCTAGATAGAAGCGAGATTCTCATTTCATTAACATCAGATTAATTGACAAGCACGTCTCAACACGGAGGACGTATTCTCCGTCCGGAGAACCGAGACCTGCTTCGTGATAACTCAAATGTTTACGCGGCGATAATCGTTTCATATCTTTCTTCACTTGTCTCTCTACTTGTCTGCTTACAAATCTGTGCATCTGTCTCTTCATTGATCTGTTTATGATTATGGCTCATATTCTGAATTCTCTGTTATAGCTAAAAGTACTTTATAAGCTTTCTGATTGGCTAGCTAATCAAAACCACTATTATAGACTCTTTTAGCAATAAAAGAGTTTAGAATATGAGTCTATGTCTACGGCCCATATTAATAGTTAGAAACTCGTCTCAAGTAAGATGCTCAGATTTTTATTCAGAGTTAGATACAAGATTTCCAATTGAATATATGTAACACTTACATTTATAACCGCAACTCAACTGAAGAACTCTCATTTAACTCTGAGTGCATATTTGAGTGCCTCGTTTGAAACGGATTTCAAGTAAAAACTATTAATATAAGTCAAATTTTATTTGATTTCTTCTCTACTTATTTACTTATTTCTTTATTCCTGTACGTTTATTCATTTACTTATCTCTTCATCTGTCCCTTCATATATTTATCTTTGCTTTGTTTAATCAAAACACTTCTTCTTATTCGTCTTATTCTTTTCATCACTCGTTCGTCTATCTGTATTCATATATTTGCCCATCATTCATCAGTTTCTCTATCTAGATGCTTGTTCGTCTATCTTGTTCCTACTTGTATATTAATTCATATATCTGTCTGTCTACCCCTCCAGCTACTTACCTGCTTGTCTTCATTTGCTTGCAGGTAGTCCTGCTGCTCGCCCTCGTGGCGGTCGCTTTCGCAGAGGATGCGAAGCAGAGCGACGCTAAGGCGGACGCGAAGAAGGAGAAGAGAGGCCTGTACAGCGCCCTGGGGTACGGTGGCTACAGCGGCTACGGCGGCTACGGCGGCTACAGCGGCTACGGCGGCTACAGCGGCTACGGCCTCGGCGGATTGGGCATCAGCGCCTACTCGTCGCTTCCGCTCAGCATCAACCACGGCGTCTCCACCGTCCTGACGAAGGAAGTAGCCGTACCCGTGCCGCAACCGGTCGCCGTGCCCGTCGAGAAACACGTCCCGGTGCCCGTTAAGGTACTGTGCAACACCGCGGTATTTCGCCGTCGCGATCTTCAACACGTGTAAACCACGTCGAGTATCGTCGTTAGCGAACGCGTTTCATTTTCTCGCTTCTGGCCCGAGGGGATTGGAACGAAAAAAAGGCGAAAGAAGAGGCAAGGCAGGCGGGGGAAAACAGAGGAATCCGCGTTGTCGAGAGTCGATTTACTGGAATCCGCGATTAGAAGAAAGCGCAGTAATTAGCAAATTGTGACTCGACGGGAAAATAATGGCTTCATGCGGCGCGCGAGTCGGTTTTCCCGCCGCGGCGAGATCGATCGATCGACCGATCGATCCATTCATCTATCCTTCCATCCGCCCGTCTCTGCCTGAACGTGCCTCCGGCTGGAAAGCGTTCAGTCTCGCGATCATTTCTGCGATTAGAAGACATGAAAGATGTTATGAGTTTCATCATACGTGTGTGTAACACACAGACCTTGTCGCGAGTTGTTACGAACGATCGAGGTGACCGACTTGCGATTGCAACCGCGATGTATCGAAGACCTCGCGCTTCTAACCACGCTTCGCTGAACCCAAAGGTCGTAATTGCTTCGGCTTGACTTGAGAAAGAGAGAGAAAGATATATCCTACGTTTTTTTTTCTCTCTCTGTATCAAACGCATCTCGAGTTGTAGAGAACGAAAGTGGCCTCGATGCAGATCAACACGTTCTCGAGATATCCTTCTGCATAATTTTTGCAACTTTTGATTTCTCCTCTCTTCTCGGCATCATCGATTTTATTATCTGACTCGCATCAGTTAGATTCTCGTTTCAGCGACTTTAACTTTCCAACAGTGTTCTGTTGTAACCATTTAACTTAGCACGAAAGTTGATATGCATATGTAGAAATATTGAAAAATTTTTCTCATATATTAAGAAAATCGATCGCGATCAAAACACGCCGCGATTTGTTGTTGTTTATCCTTTTGCGTTGTGCCAGCTCTTTAATCCACAAAAGAAACTCATAAGACACATGGCAAATACGCAAGCAATTAGCAAATTGACCAATAATAGTCAATTACGACTCAAGGATAATTTCTACAAGAACTTCTTCTTATTGAAGCAAAAAAAATTATCACTGATGTTTTCTATTTGGAATATTTTTGATATTTCTTTCTTGAACAGATTTATTTGTTTTTACAAGATATGAGATTTTGATGTTTTTTTATTTTAAAAGATTTTTTATTTCAACTTTATTTTTTAAGAGATCTTGATTTGAGATCTTGATGTTTTCTTATTCTAAGAGACTTGATAATCTTTTCAGAATATTTTTAATATATGCAATAAAAAAATATCGAGAAATATAATTGATTCACATTTATAATTATTTTAATTTTTCTCTCTTCTTATTTTTAAATAATTGCACTTATTTATGTCTTATTTGCAATGTTATTTTGACGTCGAGAAGATTTAACGATTCCACGCTGAAATCTCGTTGTTTACGTTTTTGTGCGTACCTGCAGCGCATGATACACACAAAACCTTAAGCAGCAAGACGTAAGCAGTAAAAAAATTGACCAATCACAATCGATTATCTTTCGACCGTAGGGAGAATCGTCTACTGTGATTGCTCAATTCTTTTACTGTTTTAGTCCGTTCACGTATCCTCAGTCTGACAGGAGGTCCAAGACAAAAGACGTTTCTGCAAACTCAGTCGCTCTTTTTTGTTTCCTGATCAAAAAAAAAAAAAAAAA